TCAGCTTTGATCCTCAATTCATCATATATTAAGGCTATGTTTTTCATTCATTTCTTATACAGATGAGGAAACAATACACACAACTTTCTTCAAAGAGAAAGTTATAATTCCACTATATAATTGCATTACAATTCCACCCCTACCATCGCACACCCAACCGAATGTTTAAATGTGTGAAATGTTTGAATGCTTATGTTTAAAGTTAGGGTTGTCATACTGGAATACTTTTGTTGGTACCAGTGTCCAGGCAGAAATCGCTAAAATGTCTGGGAAATTCTGGACAGATGTCAACCCATGTCGGATGTCTAGATTTTTCCGAATATCCTTAAAACTAGCTCAGTGGCAACCCTATTTAAAGTATCATTTTTTCTAAAAATAATAAATGTTAATGTTGCGTACTTATATTGATCAACCCAATGCATATTTGTAAAAAAAGGCTTTTATTTCTAAAGAAAATGATTTTTACAAACAAGGCTTAAAATAAACAATACAGATCCCTCTTGCAAAACAAACAACCCAGTTAGGGTCAATGGTACAACTGAGGATCGATGATGGAGTCAACTTGAAAAATAGCAAAATAGTAAAATGAAGTACTTTGTTCAGCTGTATTTGCAAGCTACATTAAACTCCCAAATAAAAAAAAAGGACAGAAGAAGGGGTCACATCAAACCTAATGTGACACCACAAGACAGAGAGATTACAATACCTCTGGAGGCATGCAAATTACTGCTTGATGATGAGCAATGAATAACAGCAGCAGTACTGTGAAGAACTACACCCATTGCATAAATGCTGCAATGTTGCAAGAAGGTTCAAATCCAAAAATGCTATTTTTGCAAACCAACAACCGTGGTGTGTTGTGATTCCCATTTCTTTAAGCTTCCAAGTTTGAGTAACGATCACTCGGTCAAATGATGAACAGGTACAGAAAAGCTAATCCCTTCCCTACTGATGAGTCCTTGTTTATCATTTGGAACATAAGGAGCTGTAACTAGCACTATTGCCTAAAGTTTGCAGAGAATGCACATTCATGCACTGGACAATCGTGCAAGTTGTTTGTTTTTTAATTATGTAAAATGGTGTGTGTGTGTGTGTCCACATATTCATTCATATACTATTTTTTTTAAAGGTGGGGGCAATGGAATACTATAAAAATACCCATTTCAACAATATACTGCCGTTCAATAAAACTATTCACCCCCACTTTCCCATCCTAAATTTCCTCTCGTTTTATGGGAAGTGATTCTTAAATAGAATTAATTAAATAAACAAACTCACTGGACCAGGAATACCAGTCCAATTCTAGATTGCCAGCACAATTGGCTGGTGCTGATGGGAATTGTAATCCAAACCATCTGCAGGACATCTGGTTGGCAAAGGCTGATATGATATATATGCCAATAGAACTGGATCCTTATGTAGTCAAAGTGGTACCATCCATGCATAAAAGGGGGTGGTATCAGGATAACGGTTTTACAAACAAAGGGTTCTGCCCAAATGTTCGGTCTAGAGGGGGCTGAACATGATGAGTGGTCCCAGTATGCTGACTGCTTTGCAGAGGATAAAAAAAACTAAGCAAAGAGGGAAATGCAATGGATTATCCTCAAAAAGGTAATGTCTGGAACCCTGAACCGCAAACTTTGATGCAGGTCCAACTTGTGGAATCAATTTCACAATTCTCATTGAGGTGCTACATGGCTTATGTTTCTGAAGGACCAGTTGTTTCTGAAGGACCAGGGGTGCTGACTTGTACCCCAGATTGTGGTTGCCCAGTGGTGCACGTGCAACGTGACGTTGTAACATTACTCGTGCATCATGTGCTCATGACGCTGGGCTCCATGCTTGGCTGCTGCCCACTGCCTTGCCTCCGCTGGCTTGTTGCTGTGGTGGTGACTGAGCCAGGGCCTCCACCTCCACCACGTGGCCTCCGTTGGGGCCCTCTGCAGATGTGGTTGCGCTCCTGGAAGTGCAGCCTGGCTTCCTGGGGTGCGACTATGGCTGTGGTGGGACTCGGTGGAGGCCTTGCGCTGGAGGTCTTGGCCTCGTTGCCGAAGAGGCAGTGGAGGTGAGGGCGGTAGAGGCCCTGGCCTGGTCCCTGTGGCAGCGGTGGGGGTGGTGCAGCCAGCCAAGTGCATATCTTTGGGATGAGACCTCCTCTACCCCCTCAAGATTTTGGGGGCCTGGCCCCCTGCTTACAAATATTGAGGAGGCTGAGACACCCACAGCCCCTTAGAGATGGTGCCATTGGTCACTAGAGACCTTTCTCCAAGCACCCCTGCTTTAGTAAATAGACAGGTAGCCACCATAGATTAGGATTTTCCTGTGGCTGGCACCCAGATATACTGTATTTTTCGCTCTATAGGACGCACCCGACCATAGGACGCACCTTGTTTTAGAGGGAGAGAACAAGAAAGAAAGAAAATCTCCCCTCTCTGCTCAGCACCCCTTAAGTGATGTGGCCGGAGAAACGGAGCCCCTTCCATTTCTCCTCCCGCTTGGCTGAAGGGGCGCTGCGCAGTTCTCCCTCTCTGCTGAAGCCAGGAGAGTCTTGCTCTCCTGGCTTCAGCAAAAGGAACCTGAAGGTTTCGGAGCGCAGTGCAAGTTCCCGCTGCGCTCTGAAGGCTTCAGCGAAAGCAACGTGAAGCCCCCAGAACACGGAGGGAGCGCTCCCTCTGTGCTTCGGAGGCTTCTTGTTGTTATCGCTGAAGCCAAGGAGCCTGCATTCGCTCCATAGGATGCACACACATTTCCCCTTAATTTTTGGAGGGGAAAAAGTGCGTCCTATAGAGCGAAAAATACGGTATTTAATTACTCATCCCCACCCTCCCCAACAAGCATTAAATCTGCTGTGCTTACATAAGATTTAACAGTCATTATCATTAACTTTCTTTCCGATCTCACACTTCAGAGGAAGCGCTTCAGCCCCTGCTATCAAACGACCCCCAACATGAAATTCCCCTTTTCCACGGCTGCTCCTAGATCAGCAGGGAAATAAGTGCACATAGCAGACAAATAATATATTGCATCTGTCTGGAAGTAAAGTGAAAGGTGGAAGGACAGAGCGTACTAGGTCCATGCTAAACAGAAGGGAGAAAAGTCACTTGTAAGACAGTTGTTAGTCTCCACGTGAACACAGATTGGCAAAACCTTCGAGATATACTCCTGGGGCAGCTCTTTCCTCAATTCAGAGAGGCAGCTTTGATAGAATATCTTGTCTATCACTGAGGACTGAGTTCAAAAATTACATTCTGTAGAGGAATCACAGAGCCTACAGTACCTCTTAAATTCTATCAGGTCAGACTCAGTATGCACCGGCAGATTGATGCTTTATCCTGAAACAAGGTTGAGACTCATCATTCTGACATGTAACTGCTGGGCCCCTGAAAAACCCATGAATATAGATAAGAAAAAGGACGAGTGAGTGCAGCCTGGCTTCTAAAGACGACATAGTGCTTTTCTCCCTTCACTATCTGCCTTATGCAGGTATCGGCAAGGGTTGGAGGGGGAAGGGATTTCCATAGATTTCTCTCTTTGTAACTTATATTGAAAATTTGATTTCATCTTCTTTCTTCTCCCATGGTTTTCTTACACCTTTGTGTCCCAGAATGTCTAAGGAAGTAAATAAAGAAGATATGGTTAGGATTGTCACCCCACCCTACTCTCTATGCTTGTGTAACTCATCTGCCTTAAGAATGTATTTTTTAAAATTAAAAGCCCCCTTCTCCCTCTGCCAAAAAAAGAAGACTAGTGAGATAACTGGCTGATCTAAGTAGACAATCTGATCCTTCTTGGTATTTTGTTATGTTGAAACTCTATATATCCCAAATATAGGTGATATTTACCTGACTGTAGTATTTTCAATTCAATTTTCAGCAGCAAATTTAATAGTTTTTCTTTAATACAAAAAAACCCAAACAAGAGTACTTTTTGAGCATGGTGACTTACCGCAGCCTTGCAAATATGTCTGCAAAAGCACTAGCTCAAGAAAATATTCCACTTGCCATATCTCCCCAATTTAAGTCTGTGGTAGGGGACACATTCACTTCTGAACAGCGTTCTGGGGAGGGTGGGGGCTTGTGTCAAGAATGGGCTAGAGGCAAAGTGGAAAGATCCATGAATGTAAATGTTATCATTGTATGGTAGGATAGTTTCTGTATACTCAGACACCCCTCTCTGTCTTCTACCCAGGCAAGTTAAGAGCCATTAGCAGAGTCTGAGGACACATCTCTGCCAGCCAAAAAACATTCAAAGAGTGCAAGAAGCAGGGCCATTGTGGATTGTTTTCATTCCCATCCAGGCAAAGTTTCCCTTGAACTCCACCTAGTGCATTGTCCAAAACATGGCAACCGGAACCCTCCTAACTGGTGGAAATGGTTCAAGGGAAGAACACAAGATGCCATTCCATAGGTCCCTAACTAGACCAAGCACAGAGTAACAAACATGGAAGGACAACAGGAAGTGCTGGCAAGGGTAGAAAGGGGAGCCAAACTAACTTGGGCTGGAAATATCTGTCTCAGGAGAGATCTCATGAAGACTGTGGGGTTCATATGGGAGAGGACTGTGGCGTTTGCCTGTTCTTTTGGAAATGTCTGTACAGGGGGAGAGAAAGGGTTAATAGGTAGAAATAGAATAGTCCAGAAGTGGAGCCTACCTGTTTTTAAAAGGCTTAGCCAGAGGTTTAGACAGTTGGGAAAAAGCAGTTGGAAGACAGTTGGAAATAGAGAGACAGTTAGTGCAGTTGGTTCTTGTGTGAGGGGAGGTAGAGGAGTTAGAGACAGGAGAAAATAAGACTAAGAGGGTAAAGGGTAAGAGCGTTTCGAATGCATTTAAAGTTTGCTTGTGTTTGCAATAAACTACAATCTTCATTGTTAACTTGAGAACCTGACTGAGACAAAGTGTTTTACCGGGGAGAACCTGGTTGGTGGCAGCGGATTAGTGGTGTATGGGTCAATAGTCCATGAAACGACTGGAGGCCACAACTCTCCTGCTTCCTTGACAAAGGGAGAGTGATTTAGCAGGAAAGTGATCTGGAGTCATTATCCCACCATGGAAGCTGGTGGACACAAGTTCCCTGGCTTTTGGTGCGGGGTAAAAAGTTGAAGGTGAGTTCTGTGTTGTTGTTGTTTAGTCGTTTAGTCATGTCCGACTCTTTGTGACCCTATGGACCAGAGCACGCCAGGCGCTCCTGTCTTCTACCGCCTCCCACAGTTTGGTCAGACTCATGTTTGTAGCTTCGAGAGCACTGTCCAACCATCTCGTCCCCTTCTCCTTATGCCTTCCATCTTTCCCAACATCAGGGTCTTTTCCAGGGAGTCTTCTCTTCTCATGAGGTGGCCAAAGTATTGGAGCCTCAGCTTCACGATCTCTCCTTCCAGTGAGCACTCAGGGCTGATTTCCTTAAGAATGAATACGTTTGATCTTCTTGCAGTCCATGGGACTCTCAAGAGTCTCCTCCAGCACCATAAGGGGAGAAAGGTCAGCAGAGCTTCTTCCTGAACTATTACTGTGCTTTTGTGTGTAAATCCTGGGTGGGAGTTCTTGAACTTTCGTAGTGTTAATGACTTGTGGATTACCTTACTGATATGGAGAGACAATGCTTAGGGACACTTCTAGTGAAGAAACAGCCTGCCCACCTCCACTGAGTCTGGGTGGCTTAGCCCTTGCTGACAGAAACTGCAGTCCCACCCTACATACAAGGAGACACACAAACTTTTCTTGTCTTATTGATATCCAGAAGTGAAGGAACCACCATACATGCAGGGGGGGAGAGATGTCGGGCTATGGTTGTAATGAAAACTAGCCCACTTCATCATGGCTATGGGAGAGAATGAAGCATCAATTTCTTTGTCGCAGGAAAATCTATGTGCATAGTAGAACAGTACAGTAATTGTGTACTCATCTTGGGAAACCATTTACTGTACTGACAGTTAGCATCAACAGAGAATGGGGGGTGTAGAAGGAGGGACCAGCTAAGGAGGAAACCTAGAACATGCAGCAGGCAGAATAAAAGACACATTGGGCAGATTTTTAATTTTGCAGTTAGTGTTGCCTCATGTGCTCTAGAGATCAGAATGATTGCAGAATCCTCAAATGTTGCTTTAATGATGATTGCACAATCCAGAAAATGCCCAGGCACGTCTTCCATAATGGCATGGAATAACTACACCCCAGGAGCTATCAGGCTTGGCAAATCACAATTTGCATGATATTTCCTCTTTTTAAATGGCTATTTCAGTAGGCTTGCATATGGACAGTAGCTGTATGTTTGTCCATCACTGTATAACCACTTTGGGCACGTTAAAGCATCCATCCATCTGCAACTTGCTTCTTGGCTCAGACAAGTGAGGGCATATATTGGCCAAGAAACACACCTGGCCCTGTGTTATTGCCTACTTTATGTTCATTATCTGCGTTTTCACGAACAATTAGGGGAATAAATCTTCTTCAGTGGCCAATTTTATAACCTGAAGACTCCTGTTGTAGAAATGTTATGGGGAAGCTGATGCAGTTCTGGCAGTATAAAGTATATATCAGCAATCCCCAAACTGTGTGCTAAGGCATCTATGAGTCCAAATTATCTACCCATCTAGGGTCTGCCTGCTGTGCCTTTGCATAGTTCATGGAATCAAAGAATCATAGAGTCGGAGGAGGTCTTGTAGGTCCCTTCTGCTTAGTGCAGAAATTCTGAAATAGAGCACCCCCAAACTAGTGGTGGTTGGTGCCCATTAGGACTGGTGGGCAGAAGGCAAGGAGACCAAGGGAGCCAGAACAAAGGACACCCTCTTCCCTGCTGAGCTTCAGAGGCAAAAATGAGGCTAAAGAGGAAGAAGCTGACAGCAGTGCAACCCATTGGACTGGTTGTAAGATGACAGGGAAAGGCATAGTGGGGGGGGGTGATCAGAAGGTGGTGGACGTATTCTGGATATTAAGCCCATTCTACTCGGTCATGTGACCTGACAGCACACTGCAAATTAGAATGGAAAAAATGGATGGCATAACTCAAAGTCTATTTCAAAGGCTTGTTTCACCTCTGCCAGGCTTAGGCGAGCTCAGTCAGCAGCAATTCCTATGCTGAATGGAGTTTGGATCCGGTGTAACTTTACACTAGCTTAACTTATGCCACTTATGCTTCCCACCAGCTTCTTGTCTATTGCATTGTTCCTTTAGGGACACATGCAGTTTGGCCATTAAAGGTAAAGGTACCCCTGACAGTTAAGTCCAGTCGCGAATGACTCTAGGGTTGCGGTGCTCATCTCGCTCTACAGGCCGAGGGAGCCGGTGTTTGTCCATGTGGCGTTTGCCCTCCTAGGTGTGTGACATCATACTGGGTCATAAGGAAAGGGTTAACTAAGTGTAAAATGATTAACTAATAGGAACCCAAGGGGAGGAGTTAGAGTTAGAGTTGTTAAGAAGTCAGTCTGGAGTTAGAGAAGAGAGAGGGAGGGAGGATAAGTCTGTGGGTTGGGCTAGTCTGATGTGAGAGAGTGAGAGAATCTGTTAAGAGGAGTCAGTTAAACAATTGGGATAATCAGTTAGAAGGTATTAGGAAGGTATAGGTCAGTAAAGAAACTAAGATTAAGAAACTGACAAGAAAACTACCTGAAACCATAAGCTTGTTAATGCTTATAAAATAAACTTGTTTATTTGGTTTAATATTAACAACTGTCTGGACTCTGTGTGTACCTGAGAGAAACGGGTTGGTGGCAGTGGGGAAGCAATCAGAGTGGTGGCACAGGGATCAATAGACCGTCAAACTTCCAGGGACCCTGTGTGATCGCCACAGTCCACTTCCACAGACAGCTTTTTCGGGTCATGTGGCCAGCATGACTAAGCCACTTCTGGCAAAACCAGAGCACTGATTACCTTCTCACCGGAGTGGTACCTATTTATCTACTTGTACTGCATGCTTTCGAACTGTTAGGTTGGCAGGAGCTGGGACCAAACAACAGGAGCTCGCCCTGTCGCAGGGCCTCGAACCGCCAACCTTCCTATCGGCAAGTCCAAGCGGCACAGTGGTTTAAACCACAGTGCCACCTGCGTCCTAGTTTGGTCATTACTCATTTTAAAAACAGGACGGTTTCAAAGAACATCTGCCGGAGCAAAGTATGTAAACATATGGATTTTGCTCCATTCACAAGCCTTGAACAAGCTTTTTTTTCTTCTACTGGGGTTGCCTCTGTCTGTTCGAGGCATCTGCACACAGCTTGTGTGGCGAGTGGCAGCACAATTCACTCTTACACATAAGCGTAAAAATAAAAAGCTATTTTCAAATGTAAGAGCAAAGTGTGCCTCCAGTTTTAATGCCGAGTGAGAGAGTGGGAGGGAAAGTTTGCCTGGGCAATCGGGAGCCGGGGGGGGGGGGAGAGAACTTTAACAATTTCCAAAGGCGTTTTTGCATTGTGCTTTCAGCTTATCCATATTGGCTGCAACAATCCTCTGAACAGCTGGATTGTTTAAATTCCACGGAAGCCACTGGGATTTCAACAGCCTAACCGTCTATAGGGTTTCGGCGATTATAGATTGTGCACCCAAAAGGCTGTATTAAATGCTCAGCCTTCCTTCCCCATTCCTAAAATTGTTGCATCTAGAAGTTTGCTGCCCCCACTCCCAACCCCAACCCAAATATGTGCCAACGAGCAGGAGGAGATTGTGCTGGGCGAATGCGGCTACTTTGAATTACCTTGTTCAATTGAGGGCTTGCAAGCTGTACCACAAAGAAAATAGGATCAAGTTACAAAAAAACTGCTGCTGATGCGGCTTCCAGAATATCCGAGGAGGGGGCAAAATGATTTAGGGAGGTTTATCCTGCTAACCGGATTTACTGAGCTTAGTACACTTTTTGCTCTCTCACTCTCTCTTTTAAAAGTCTAATACAGAACAGGTTTCCTTACATAGAGATTTGGCAAACAAACTTCATTTGATCTCTGAGAGGAGCTTAAAGGGGACTTAAAAGTGGGGATGGAAGACTGCTCTTTCATAACATAAGAAGTGGTTGAATCCTTCCTTCTAATCCTTAAGTGGAGCATGGCTAAATATTTAGGTCAATTTCGTTAAATTGCCCTTTTTTCCCTTGCGGAAAATGAATCTCTCATTTTATATTTTGGCCTGCCTTGGATTGCTTAAATATAAAAGAAAGAAAAACTTAAATTACTTGATATACATACATTCAGTTCCGCAAATTACAAAATGGGACAAAGGAGATGTAAAGCGTATATTCAAATGGAATGAAAATGTCCTTCAGTTGTCCCGCCGTGGTTTGGAGCTCTTAGGGAGCAATGTGTAGGACTCCTTCCTTCCTTCCTTCCTTCCTTCCTTCCTTCCTTCCTTCCTTCCTTCCTTTTCTTTCTTTCTCTCTCTCTCTCTCTCTCTCTCTCTTAAAATTTTATTTATGCTTTTCAGATTTATACATTTCACTAATTTTACAATCATGTTAACCTTTCCAAACTTGACTTCCGTCACTCTCTTTCTGAGGTGTCTTAAATTTGTTTTTAAGATCATCTGCATATCCAAATTAACTTAATTTGCTCATTTATTCATCTACTATAAATATATACTCTTATAAAACTGCATGTTATTTCAATAATCCTGCCAATGTTCTTATCTGTTTACAATTTATCTGTAAATGTTCAATAAACCATTTCCATTCTTTTATAAAAAGTTTGTCTTGATTTCATTTCTGCATGTTCCATAAGTTTTTGTATCCATTCTTCCTTTGCTGGGACTTCTGCTTCTTTCCATTTTCCAAAATGGAAAATGGTGTAGAACCCTTTCTGAATCATGCCATTCATCTTTTCCAAAATCTTTTCATTTCTCTTAAAAGTTCTTGAATGACGCTCCTCAATAGAAGCTTCCAATTCTGCCAGCTTTGGACAACACACGTGTATCCAGCAACTAAATGCTTCAATGTGGAGTTCTCTTGTATAGTGATCCAGTCACCCAGCCAGATAGTCTTGACTTCCTTCAGGATACTATTCCCCTTCTCCACCTGGTTTTCCTGACTCACACATCTACAACAGTCCACCAGCATTCCATGAACAATATATTCATACTTCTACATGGAACTAGTCTGCCCCTGCGGTTTGATGGAGGTAGAAACCGTCTC